AAAAAAATAAAAAAGTTATAGGAGAAACTTAAAAAAAAACACCTGGTATAAAAACCGTACAAAAATAACATTCTCCAAAAAATAAATTAAATTCTTTCTAAAATATAGGCATTGTCCAACACTGTTCAGTAATAGGCCTATCAGTTAAAAGCCCCTATAGTGGCGGCCTTTTAAATTGGAACAATTTATAAATATCGACAGTTAACAGAAATCCAAAATGGTACAATACGGTATTATGTTCAATGCTATTTTTAAATTGTATTTGCACGAAAAATAAGATGTATGCACCAAATATTACACAGTACATTATTTTTAAGTTTTAAACAATTAACGAAATGTTATACCGTGTGGTGCATCGGAACACGGGACATAAGAAATCCCATGTAAATTTTGAAAAGGTCAAGTATTATGTCTTCAGATGATTTTATGCAAAAATTGTATTAGACTTTTTTGAAGTGTTTTTGTTGCGTTAAAGTTGTACCCTCGTCTAGAATTTCGTTTTATTTGGAATAGGAATTTAAAAGTTATTTGCAAAAATCTACCTTCAAAGTACTAAAAATTTATATAACGGCGCGGCCCAGGGGAAAACTACAATTATAATATCAGCAAAAATATGATTTTGTTATTGTCAAATAAAACTAAATATTGTCTAATAAAGACCATCTACAAAAGAATTAGTTCAACTGAGAAATATTATTTGCGAAGTATGACTATTGTTGGCTATGCGGGCTCATTTATCCCTACTAATTCATTAATTTCATATCCGAGATGGGATCATGATGATTTTTCATATAATTTTATAAAATAACAGCGATCTTCATTTCCAACCCAACTTTAACACTGTATTTTTCGATTATATTGGCATATTGGCATAATACACCATTAACTAAAAACATCAAATATTAATATTATATGCATATCATGTTGCATAATTATTAGGTAATGTAAATATAAACATTAACATTTTTGCAATATTTTTACCTATAAGTTAATTTGTCCAATAATAACCTCGTCCCAAATAGAACATTATTAACATTGATAAATATTTACTTGCCTAAACTTATTTTCATACGTGGTATAACTGTCTAGAAGCTCACCTGAAAAATAAAAGAAATAAGATTAAAATACCTTATTTGGAGTCATGCAAAAATATATTCATTATGCAACTTCAACAAGGTTGTAGGATTTAACAAATAATATTTTTACTGGACTACGTTACAAAGTTGCAATGCCTTTATTGTTAAAATACAATATGATCAAAAAAAGCGCGTCAGCGATGACTATATAATGAAGATCGCTGTCATTTATTAAGGGACCCACAGACGATACAATCGGTTGTACAACTGATCGTACGATAGGTTGGACGAAAAATCGTTCAGACAGACCGTAGATACTTTTGGCCACAAACGTAACGACATTCTAAAGCGACTTGTAGTACGATTAGTTAAATGAATTAGTTCAGTGACTCAGTGTATGTTTGACTATGTCACAAACCATGTCAAAAAAACCGTAGCTGCTTACTAAAGCGGCTACACTGTTGAAAAAGATAGACTTGAACTAAAGTCGTCATCGTTCTTGAAAAAAAAAAATTTAGTGGCAAGAGAATTTATTTTAGTGTAAAAGAAAATATTTTGCCTGAAGAAAAACTCTCTTAACTCAAGAAAACTGGTTCTCTTGAAAAATTCGAAAATTTCTCTTGAATCTATTTTCATTCAACCAAGTGCAAGTTACTTTGTTTTAAGATAATAAGACAAATACGCTAGGAAGTACTTTATTCAAGAAACATGGCCATTTTTCCAATAGCTAAATACTCTTTTGATGAAAAATAATAACGACACGCAAAGACGATGACGAAGGACGGTATATACAATCAGTCGGCAGTCAGTCGGCGATCAGTTGTACGTCGCATTTCATAGGTCGTACATCATAGTACGTACGAGTTTTGTTGCTTGGAATTTTCCACTTGGAATTTTGCATAATTAGCTTTTTAAACGCATATCGTATAACAAATTAGTGATCGTTATTAACATGCATTTGTCATTTTTTATGGACAATATATAGGATATATGGATTCTTTAAAGGAGTTTATGAAAAAATGGAAATTAGAGCATTTATTTGCTATATTTGAAGGTAAGAGACATTTACCTAATGCACCTGTTTAGATAATGCATGCGTGACTATAGATATAATAAGAATATAGGTATCGATTTTTTTATGCAAATAATTACAAAAATTTTAGAATTTCAAGTCGTCATATTAAAAAAATCAAAATGTGACCAAAGCTTATAACTTTAATAATTTATTTGCTTTACTTTGATTAATCGTGATGTAACATTTTTTTTGTAATTTGTAGAGTGATGAACCACCCCAAAAAATACCAAGGAGTGAAGAAGCAGAAATAGCTACTATCGAGGAAAATAATATCACTTTACTTACTACAGACCAGCAGGAAAACCTAAATTTGTCAGAAAATAATATACCTCGTAATATGCCTGTATGTGATGTATAGACTTCTCCTAGATCAAAATAAATTTTAGTTGACTCAATAGTGTTCGCTATTGGTTTAAGAAAAGTGTCTCTTTAATCAAGAAATGTCCCTTTTCAATCAAGAATTTTTGCATGAATCAAAGAGACTATTGTTCTTGTAGCAAGAACTTCTTTGCATATTCATTTTGGGTCAAGAGTGAAATACTTTGGACAGATAGATTATTCTATTCTCTAAAGTAATTTTTTAAAGCTTATGAAAAGATAGCTAATGCTTTGGGCAAAGAAACGTCGTTCTTGGCCCTATTGAAAAGCGCTAATCTTTTGGGTCAAAGTCATATTCATTTCGACTGAGAGATCCTTTTTTTCAGTGTACTAAGCCGCTTTGTTTTCCGATGATAATAGTAATAAAGTGCAAAAGAAGAAAAGGCGCGTATGGTGTAAAAAATTGCTGTTACAAAGACATATTCATTCGCATATGAATCTACTTAATGGTCTCTATAAATTTCAATAAACTCTGTCCAAAACTGCCTATTTTCCTCCAAGATGAAACGCCACAATCTCACTACACGATGTATTTCTGTATTAACATAGTAGCAACAAGTCGGTGAAAAGCCACAGACGTTCAAACTTGTCGTTGATCCAACCAAGTTGTACGACAGATTTTTAAACATGCTGAACTACCAAACCATCCAACCGAGTCTTAACGACAAGTTCGACGACAAGCCCACAGACGTTACGATTATCGTTCAAACATATTGGATCAAACCAAATCGTCCGACTTGTTGTACAACAGATTGGATCGTCTGTAGGCCGTTTAAAATTATATGGGGAAGTAATCGATCGTCATTTCCAAGCCAATTTGACGCCGTTTTTTTTTTCGGATGGTACGGTATTATGACTTACAGCCTATTATCTAAAATATTTTTTTAATCTCGGTGGTTATTTAATTTAATTACCTATAAAATTATATACACACTAAATAATACCGTAGTCTACAAAAGGGTCACAGTATTGCTAAAAATATTTTGACAAATTTTCAATATAAGCCCTAAGTAAAAGATAATTTAAATGCATATATTTCAAATATATATATATATACAGGGTGTTCCTTCATAACATGCTAATATTTAAGGGGATGGTTCCTGGGCCTATTATAAAAAAAACTAGCGACCGCACACTGACATGAGAGTTGTCGCTCGCTGATTAAGGAAAGCCCAAAATAGAATCAACTAGAAAAATTTACTGTAGGCCTAAACGAAAAGTGGGCCAAATATGTCGCTGAAAATGATGATAATAAAGCCTAAAAATAGATATATATATATATATATATATATATATATATATATATATATATATATATATATATATATATATATATATATATATATATATATATATATATATATATAACGTAAGCCTAAAAATAGATAGTAAGTAAAATAGTAGTAAGCAGCAAGTAATTTGAAAGAGATAACTAATTAAATAAACTACAATCAATTCGATAGAAACAACAAAATATAAACTCTCGACTGTTTTCGACCCTCAATTTTCTTTTTGATTGACTACTTTCGTTCCATTACAGCAATTTTCTCCAGCCGGATGCATCGCGCTTCTATTTACACATCTCATTCCATTATGGCCATCAAATAACAACATGAAATCTACTCTGTGTTCTGAAAAAGCCGGATTCTATTCTTTCAAGTCGGCAATTCTAGTGTCGGCATACTAATGTTTTCTTTCTGATGGCGGTTTCTGTTTTTTGTTTCTTTTCTTTTCTGATCTTTTGTTTTTTCTTACACATATACATATATTTTATTTAATTGTTAACATTAGGGTAGTTCTACCAATTGTATATGTGTGGAATTCCACTGATATGTGTTTTAAGTTGTTTGTTAAATTTTTTAATTTTTTTGATTGCATTATGCTCTCTTAACTTTGTAGTGTCCTGAAGATGCAAATAAATTTTGCGAAACGTCGACAAATTTAAAACAATGGACTTCTGTTGATTTTTTTCGATCCTAATCCAATTAAAAAACACAGTATACTTAAATTTATCAATTAATTTTTTAAAATATTGAATGGTATCGAATAATACTTTAATATATTTATCAATATGGTAAAGTATCGATACTTTATATTCAATACAACCGATACCAAAATATCGATACTGCCTCAGTATCGCATAGCCCTATGAAGAATTTTGTGGGTTCGCCAAAGGCTCCACTGAAAATGGATAGCCGCGAGACAACGCCGTTCGACTGGGCAGGGACTCTGCTCAGGATACATTAAAATACGCAACCAACCGTCATTGAACCGTCCAATCAGATCAAAGGAGTAATCGTCGTAGATCGTGCGTTATCGATAATGTTCGGTGCCTGGAGAAAATTGACAATTGACAAGAGAATTGTTTATTATTTTTGACTTTTTAGTTCGTTTAATTTAATAATTACTAAAACCAGTAGTTCGAAAGATATATTTAAAAATAAAAAGATAAAAATCCAAAAAATTAATTATCTATTAACGTGGATTTGGACCACAATAGGTAAGAACACTAAATTTATTTCTATATTCGATATAAATTTGTTTATTAGGTTTTTAGTTTGTGATGTTTCATGTGATGATCATTTTCATGTTCATCGTCTTTGAATTGACATGAGGATATCTATGGAAAAGTAACTAATCTGAAAGTAAGCCAACATATCGTTTGTCCTTTGTGTGCTAAAGAAAAGATTTTCTTTTCGCATCATGAGGAAGTATTACATCAATTAAAAAATGTTAGGAAGTTGATTACTTGTCATGGAAAAGTATACCAATGGAAATTATTTGTTAAAGAAGTATAATTCTAAGGGTAAATTTTATTATAATTAGTAACCTGTCTATTTTTTATACGTAGATGTTTCAGGTTTTAAGAATAAATTGGTTGAACCCAAAATCTGGAGGAAGTACCTATATCCATACACAGAATATGCCCATTAAAAATACTAGTCCAAATTTGCTTTAATGGTAGACAATTATTCAATACAAATTAACTTTTTAAGTGACTGAAATATTAAATAGTTTAGAATATGGTATAACAATGTAAAAAAATATTATTTTCAGGAACGATTAGGGCCCGATATATTTGAAACTCATGTTGGACATAGTATTGAGTTGGGTAGAATATTATTCTACGTTAAGTGAGGGTATCAGATACCTATTATTGTACTGTATTTTAATATATACATTAGAATTGTTGGTTTTTTCATATTTGTTTTATTTATTATTTTACTTACAAGTTATATAAAGTTAACACTAAAATCTACTTTTTGACTTATATAAGTTAGTCTGTGGTTTAATGCGTGATTACATCCACATGATTTCAAGTTTTTAAAATATAAATATTATAACTGGCTTTAAAAACTCCATTAAACTGTTAAAAGTGTAATTTATTTCAAAATAAATATACATATATAGGTATATATTAATATCGAAAAACATTTTTATTTCCTTAACACCAATTTAATCATCACATACATATGTATAAACATTTATTTACGTTATTTCAAATGAAGACCACAGGAAAAACCAGCTTTGTTCATTTTAACTGGAGCCGAGAAAATGCAATTACGAGTGAACTACTCTGGTTTTTCTCCTGTAGGGCAAAATAACTAAGCTGTAATATCTCTGGGACTAAGCATATTATTATTGCTTTCTTTGATGGTGCCTCGAATAATGCTAACACTTGCCTATAAAATTGTCTCGCTATCAATTTCTATGAAAATGTAACATATTATCTGGTTTTTTCCATGTAGTCTTCAAATGATCTAAAAATTCAGCAGGAATGATCCATTATGCAGCAAACACACTGATGTTGAATCATGGGAAGCTTTTTTGTGGGCATTTCACAAATAAAATGAAATGTCTGATCAAAAACTGAAAATGCAAAACAGATAGTAAGCTTTATAAATACATACATATATATATATATATATATATATATATATATATATATATATATATATATATATATATATATAAATAATCATACCTACATCTATTTATGTCGTACAATCCAACCGATATTTTAATATCCTAGCCCAAGTAAATAATCAAAAATGCACTTTATATCAAAAGCAGTAATGTTATCAAGGGTTCCAATTAATATCCAGGATTTAAAAAAAAACACGATCCTAATTCTTATTATTTTTCTAAATACGTATTGTCTGATAGGCAATTACAAAATATAAATCTGACGTAAATAGAAAAATAAAGTAAAAACTGTAAAAACAACAACAAAAATTCTAACCAAAGATTTAACCGTCATACGACATGAGCATCACGTGATTCCACAATACCCAACGATAGGGTACGTACCTCTTTCATCTGATTGGACGGTTGGTTGCGTATTTTAATGTATCCTACTCTGCTCGAGGCTAAATCGCTCGGCTCGAGGCTATAATATGACGAATTCCGCTTGAGGTTGACTCGTCTCGTCCTCGTCTCGGCATATTAGTACGCCTTTTTTTAACACCTCGAAAATTATCTAAACAAACATTTTTATTTCTTGTCGGGTATTTACAATGGTCGAATTGTATAATTGCCAGCTTTTATAGTAATAGATAAAAAGTATCTGGTCGATTAGTAACCAATTGGCACAGTCCGAAAATTATGGATTTTTATTTCCTCTGTTTTTATTGGTAGTTTTAAAATCAGAGTAACAAAAAATATTTTTCTGTAGGGAAACCGGTCCTGCCATCTAGTAGTCTTAGTCCATAAACGTCTTAGGTTGATCTACTTTAAAAATATATATATATATACAAGGGTAATACCAAAGCCATTTAAAAATACCATTTACCGCACGAATGTTTGTCGTCTCGGCGCCCTCACTGATGATGTGTGTTTCGTGTTTCCCCATTTTCCACACAGGACTGCATTCGCCATTGCTTCTTTGCTTTAATCTACTGAGGTGCTCATTGAGGAGAAAAGTTCCTGTTAAAAAAACCTTGATAATCAGAAGATTGTTTGGCTCAAGGATTTTGATTTTTTTCGGTCCTAACTACTGAAAAATGTCTTCGAGGGTCTAAGACCGTTGGAGGATTGTCACTCCTAATTACGGATGTAGTCTTCCAGGTACTTGAGTTCCGCTTTAAGTTGGTTTCCACTTGGAAAGCAGAATAGTTGTGGTCCAGGTAGTGGAGGGTTCGCTCCTTTATTTGTTATAAGTATCTCGAGCTCGACGATTCCCCGATATACAGGGTGCTACAAATTCGAGGTACGAGCATTGGTAACTCGGTAACCGTAATAGATACGAAGATGGTTACATTGGGGCAAAGTTGCGCTTTGGGATGTTCACCAAGATACCATCAAAAAAGTTTTAAAAATTTCAAGGATTGCCGAGTTTAAAAAAAACGGATTTTTTTTGAAAATCTTTTTTTTTCTGTCGTTGCTTTTTAGAAAATCAAAAAACTAATTGTACATTCTCATTGCCACTTTATTAGAGCTATCTGATGGTATTTTTATATTTTCAAATTAGCTGATAATTTGTGAGATACAGAGGCCAACTTATTTTTTTTAAATACGGATCTGCATTTTTTATTTCAGGTTATGAAAGAACTCGGTCTCCTGAGTACAATGATATGCCACACTTAATACTTTTTTTATTTTGGACATTTGAGCACAACTTATTTAAACTAATTTCAAGTCCGGCTCTGTTTTTTTTTAAATTTAATATTCATCGTTCCAATATTGATAAGCCTTCAAACTTAACAATGACGTGGGGAAAACATTGAATACGGAAAATCAAACGCAATAAAATAATAAAAAATAATATAAAATAAATAATATGCATAAATCAATACATCTCAGCATTTACAATAAAGAGTACAAAATGCATTCGGAAGTATAAGAAGATCTGTTCCAAGAGCTATAAATAAAATTGAACGAAAAATAAATTTGTGCAATAGGTTATAACCCTTTCGAACATGTAGAGCACTAGAAACTAGTTAGTAGAAGTTAATTAATTTATAATAATGACGATTAATATTTATTTTATTATGCAAATTTTAAGATCGTACACGGAGATTTCAAATTCACAGTAAAAAAAGTTAAAAATAATATCTTTAATTTGCTTACCTGGATATTATTTATTTGAATTTGTTAATTAGCGCTGATCAATATGGTTGCGATAAATATAATATAAGCAGATTAAATAATTTCAAAAACCAGAGTTGGACTTGAAATTATTTTAAATAATAATTAAATAGTTTTGTTGTTGTTAAGGTACCCAAAACAAAAAAAACTATAAGTTTGGCATATCATTGTACTCAGGAGACCGAGTTCTTTCAAAACTTGTTATAAAAACTGCAGATCCGTATTTAAAAAATATAAGTTGGCCTCTGTATCTCACAAATTATAAGCTACTTTGAAAATCTAAGCATACTATCAGATAGCCCTAATAAAGTGGCTATGAGAATACGGAATTAGGTTTTTGATTTTCTAAAGAGTAACAAGAGGAAAACAAAATTGATTTTCAAAAAAATCCGTTTTTTTTTCGAAAAAGCTCAGCAATCCTTGAAATTTTTAAAACTTTTTTGATGTCATCTTGGTGAGAGGAAAACAAAATTGATTTTCAAAAAAATCCGTTTTTTTTTCGAAAAAGCTCAGCAATCCTTGAAATTTTTAAAACTTTTTTGATGTCATCTTGGTGAACACCTCAAGGCGCAACTTTGTCCCAATTTAACCATCTTCGTATCTATTACGCTTTCCGAGATACCAATGCTCGTACCTCGAATTTGTAGCACCCTGTATAGGTACCATGGGATTTCAATGGCTGGTAAATGAGAAGCCCATCGAAGAATTTGCAGTCGAAAAAAATATCATATATTTTGTTAAAACAAGAACGTTATTCATTTAAAAATGAATAACAAGCTTAATAATCACAACCAGCAGCAACTGATCTCCGTATCACACTATGTAAACTTGCTAAAGGAAATAGAAAAAGGCGATAGCCCAATTTTTAATTCCAGCATTGTAGAAATTTTGACAAATTTGAGTGGCATGAAGAAGACTGTAATGCCGAAGGTAATATCCAGGATGATGACGACAGGAGACAGAGAAGATGAAATCCCTCTTGTTCTATTTGTTTGTTTAAATCAATTATGTGATTATAAATGTGTGGTTTAATATTTAACTCTATTTCTATTCATGTATAAGGGTTTTATATTTTTATTGCAATACATATTTTGAACAAATATTTAGATTTTTTTTTTTTGGTTTCTAATTTGTTTCTATTATTTCCATATCTCTTCAATGACTCAGGATATATTTCCGAAAATTTTACAGCCTAAGAATGGCATTTTGATTTTTTTTAAAGTAGTTATACAAGTTTTACTCCATACTACAGTTCTACTAAATAAAATTTGGAGAAATTTATTCAATGTTCTATAGTAAATTATCACGTTTTTTACTTAAAATACGTTTGGCAAAATTTTCGAATAAAGTGTTAATATTAAGTATATTACTATTCTTTCATTTAGATGTGTATATTCCAATAGCTATTATGGCTGATAAAATTAATGCGTACAAAGCAAATGCCATAAGTAAACAAAAAAAAACACTAAATAATAACAACTGACATACAGTTTAAAGAAAGTTAAGGAAATTAAACCTACCATTCTAAAATTTGTTTCCTAAAAGCATCACATGACTCGACACCGAAAGTCATTTCGAGATGAAATCGTTAAAAGGGTATAAAAGTAAAAGGAAAATAAAGGCAGATGTAAATATAATATTACAAATTTTACTCATAAAAATAATAAGTCAGCTAACACCGAAACTGAAGACCGTGCACACACGGGTCGTCTCAAACTCGAAACGGAAGCGTCTCAAACTTGGAACGAATCTCCCTCCACTCTACTTCCTACGTAATACGTAAATAATAGCAGGTCCACGAAAGGGTCGTTTGGCGGTCGACGCGGAGTCGAAGCGATTGATACTATTATTTATCTACAAAGGTAGATTAGATTAGATTCTTAGAGGTGGCTTTCGGCCTGATCCACTGCGACCTTCTCAGATCTATTGTGGTCCTCTTCTGATCCTTAGATTACATTCTCCAGTCCTATCCTTTTCACAAAGTTTAGCAACTTGGAGACTGAACCCTCTATATAGACTAGCTCCCTGGCAATGGCCTATCATTGCCTATTACCGAGAACCGCACATTTGCCAGGCTGTCACACCGACATAAAATGTGTTCTGACGTTCTTCT